GACGCGAGCTCGACGAGTTCGAGCTCGAGCGCGCCCGTCACCGCCGCGCCTCCTCCGGCAACTGGTCCGCGGGGAGCTCATCCGGGCACGGGTCCGCGGGGTGCTCATCCGCGGGCACATCGAGCTCGCGGCTCGTTCCGGTGAAGAGGGAGCCGGAGGAGGCCGTGCCCGATGCGCCGCCGCGCCGAGGCGTCATCGGACCCGAGGACTACCTTCCACCGGGGCAGGAGGAGCTCCTCGAGCGCGTCGTCCTCTAGCGGTTGGTGAGGGATCAGGAGGAGATGGAAGAGCGCATCCGGCACGAGCTCGAGTACGAGCGGCTCTTCCTCGAGACGGGCCTCACGGCATCGCAGGAGCACGCATCGAAGGAGCCCGACCTGCGCGTGATGAAGGAGGAGCAGGCAAAGCTCTTCGTCGACCTCGACTCCGACTCCTCCGACTCCGACTGATCGCCGCCGGTGGGCAGCTACCGCAGGAGCTCCGATGAGCTCAATTTTGTTGCAGTGGTGCGGTAGCGTAGGCCATGTCTACCATATCTAACCTTTATGTATGTATGTGGCTTGTATGAACTTATATGCGAAGAAAAACCATATATGCGAGCGAGCTCCGGTGAGCTGTTGCTTAAATTTCTCGCGCGAAACAACTTTTTTTAAAATTTAGGGGTTTGTTTGCGGTTTCTAGTCTGCCGCCGCAAATTTCGGCCTGCATAACCGCCCCCATGTGACCTGCAAACACATTTTGCAGGTCGGCAAAATGCGGGGTCTGCTAGAGTTGCTCTTAGCCTAGCATAGTGCCACCGCCTCTCGCCCGAGCCCATACCGGTCATTAGGCGGTTCCCATGGGCCCCACGTGACCAGGGGTGTCTGTGTGGCCCCTAGCCCCATCTTCTTGCTTTGTGGGTCTTTTCTTCTTAAACAATTTCCTGATTTTTTGGTGATTTATTGAGCTCCAAAAAATTATTTTCTAGTACCATTTTATCCAGCTTTCCGGTAATTTTCCTCTTCGTGTAATTCATGCAAATTGAAGGGAAAATGCATTAGAATTGAGCTACAATGTGGAAAATGCCAATGATAAATAGGAAATTATAATAGAAAATAGTGGTGCAAAATAGCCGTATCAACTTCCCCAAGCTTAGTACTTGTATCCAAGCGAAAACCGAGCTTAGTAAACATGGTTGCGGGTTTATGAAGTGGGGAATCAATAATAAAAGAATATGAAATTGACAACATCACTATTTACTCTCATGATTGAACATTCTAAATAACAATCATTTCTTACAAAACTTCTTATAAGGAGGTCATGACACCCTAAAAGTTTCTCCAGTATAACAAACCATGTTCTCAATCATTAAAAAAATTGTATTCCTATTATTTTTTTCCATAACGGTCTATGTGAGAGTTGTTTGATCAACAAACATCACAGGCTCAACTATCTTTTAGTCTTTGCATAATTATCTAGCACCTAGGAGCAATTTTTTTAGAATAAATGTGTTTCAACTAGACACAAAGTAAAAAAAATTAAAGTTTAGCAAGTTCTTAGTTTCTCAACTTATTTTCTCAGGGATAATGTCAACAATAATGAATCGAAATAATTGTGCACATCAATAGTTTACATGGTCATGGATCTTTCTCCACCATGCTATGTTTACCTTAAGAGTTTAGAAGGAAATATGTATTAACTCAACATAAAAGTAAAAGATAGGCCCTACGCAGAGGGGAGCGGAGACTGGCATGTGCTTTTTCGGTTTTGGTTGCACACGAGATTACTGAAAAAGTAACCTTACTTTACATTGCCCCATATGATGGCGCCCATTTGCGTTATTATTATGGTTTTACACCTCATCACAAGTTTGTGTAAAGGTTCAATTCCCTTCCAATAAAAATCATACTTAATTAAAATGGCAACATTGATGCCTACACCGATAATGACTTACTTGGAAGGCCTTTCTTGACCCATAGGTATGCATATTCGACGCTCGGGAATGAAACTGGGTTTCAGGTTTTTTGGATGCACAGGCAGAATCCATGCTTAGTGCATGATTTAGTCTAGCAAAGGTTGAACTAGATAATGCATGTTGGAGGATCCATGATATATTATTTTTTTCTCATTTCCTTTTTTCCTTTCTTTCTTTGGTTTTCTTTGTTTTTCTTCGGTTTTCATCGATTTACTTCCCTTTTTTCCATTTATTTACTTTTCCCCTTTTAACACATACATAACGTTTTCATACACCTTGTACATTTTTTTATTATACACCAGGAAGAACTTTTATATAGGTTAAACATTTTTTAAATACATTATTAACATTTTTCAAATATATGTTATCATGTCTACTTTTTCATACACAATGTACATTTTTCGTATGAATCTATATTTTTTATACATGTTTAACATTTTCTAAATACACAATTACCATTTTATTCTAGTACATGTTCTTGAACAGTTTTCAAACATGCGTTAAACATTTTTCTAAATACATGTTTAAACATTTTTTTTCTGAATGATATGATTTTTTTTCCAACTACGCACTTTTTTTACATATTTTTTGAACAAGTGATTTTTTAAACATGGCATATATTTGTTTTGAATGTTACTAAACATTATTTAATTACATGAATAATGTTTTACACTGTATAACATTTTTTGAAATGTTACAAACATTTTTTTGGAATACGTCAATATTTATTAAATGTCACATAGTATTTTTTTGAAAGTACAAACATTTTCTAAAATTTGAGCGAATATTTGTCTACACTGCACGAACACTTTTGAAATGTGTGACGAACACCATAAAAGAATAATTTTCCATATTTAATAGTTTTCAAAATATATGAAAAGTAAAAGAATACGCGCGTGAAGTGAGCATGACGAACCCACGTGACTGCTTGGCCGGTCCACTACAAACTCCTGTAGGTGAGCCGAGCTACTATCTCGCCTCAAGCGAAACATAGCCACTCCCTCCAAACACGCCTTTAGAGCATATCCAACCGTTTGCCCTCCTAGCGCACCCGACGAATACCTTTTGGCGTTTGCGTCGACGTTTTTTTTTGTCTTGGGGGCGGTCGAGTTTTCAGCCGTGCCCCCAGGTTTCGGCCCTCAAACGCCCAACAAATTCGAAATTGTCTTTCCCGCTGGCAAAAAACACCATAAGTTAGGTGATCGTCATGCCACAAGTCGACGATCATCATGTCACGGGTTCGGCCACCAAACATACCCAAAAGTTCGGCGATCAAAAGGACGAAATCATAGATATGGAACGCATCAAACGGCGGGCTCCTCTGCCGTGGGACTGGCCGGGGGCGTCGTGGGCGCAGTCGGGCTCATCATCGGCGTGGCTTCTATGTCTGGGCTAGTCGTCGGCATCGGCATGGCTTCATTGCTCAGGATGGGCGTCGGCGTTAGTGTCGTCGTGGGCGTAGGGGCGATGGTCGCTGCCGGCCCGGGATCTGGTTTAAGATGAGGCCGCGCTCCGCCAGGTACCGCGCCTTCACCTGCTCGTCCATCGTCAACATGTCTGACGTGATCAAGAACGCCAGGTCGGCGTTCCTCTTCTTCGCGACGACGTTGGTCATGAGAAGGTCGAGCTTGACGTCCTGCTTCATCATCAATGCCAGTGTTGCTGAACTGTGGCGCCGCCCCGTGCACGAAGGGTAGGTCGCCCCGGCGCAGAGGCAGCGCAGGCTAGGCTGAGGCAAGCGGCGAGTAGTTGTACTGGGCGTTGCTGCCGGCGGTGAACGCATGGGAAGGAGTGCGCGGGTCGGGGTTGAAGCCAGAGGGGGAGGTACGCAGCGGTGCGCCATGCGGAAAGGTGATGTTGGGGTTGAAGCCACCATGCGCGTCGCCGTCGGAGTAGTCAAACGAGGGTGCATACCCCCATGCGGGCGACAACAAGTTGGCCGGTGACGCGACGCTATGCTGGCTCCCCCACGCTGCTTGTGCGCAGTGGCCGGCCGGAAGGTTCATCATCCCCGCATGAGACGCCTTCCCCTGCTCCGTCATCGCCGCCACCGCCGCGTCCCTGGCCCTCTTGGTGATGAGTCTGTTTCGCCGGTCGGTGGTGAGCGCCTCCCAGCGCCGAACATCCGCCCTCCACTCGGCGTTCGACATGCCCGGTGGCCTTGCCATCGGTGCCCTCGGCTTCCTCGGCTCCAACTGGATGGAATTGGCGGCTAGGCGAGGGGGCGCATATTTCTTCAGCGCATGGCGCCCGAATCTGATGAGGAGAATGGCGGGAGCGGCAGGAGAAGGGGGAAGGGAGGCAATGGGGAAATGGAAGGAAAGGGGAAGAAAACGGCGGGAAATCGACCAGTGTCATCGACTGCGAAGACCCACACGCCTTTTCGCTTCAGCCGGCGCCCCAGGCGTCCCTTAGTTTGTTGGGTTCGGCTCGGATTCTCTGGTTGTTATTCGGTTAAAACCGGCGCTAAACAAC